CTTGTCTCCAAACTGTTTGTCTCTGAACAGTCTTTTCTGAAGAGTTCTCCAATTAACCATTTTGGTTAAGGAATGTCATTGCCAGGAATACCAGTTTTTCCCGGATTTTTTGATCAGGTCCCACATCAGAGGGGAAGCAATAGGCAGGTCATGTGGGAGTCAGTGCCAGCGAGACCCATTTGGCAAAATATAAGCAACTGAGAGGTTTAGAAGAAGTGGCCCTTAGGCTGGCATCCATTTTTTAATATTTTTGTCCTATAGATCATGTTCTGTCATCTTAAAAATGCTGTAGAATGTCAACAGACAGCAGTGAAAAATTTTCCAAGAAAGATACAAAAAGCCAAAAAAGCAAATATTTTTAAAAACTGACAAATAAGTACTTGTTAGAGTCATTTTCATGGATTTGATTGTAGATGCTCTAGAGAAGGACCCAGACTGCTAATGATAAAACTTAGAGTAGGCATGGCTAAAATACTAAAAAGCAGTTTAGCAATTGTTAGGACATCTAGTTATTTCTACTGCAGACAACATTTTGGGAAAATAATTATGACTGACAGCATTATAACAGCAACATTAAGTGCTCCTTGTTACAATTAGGAACACATAGACATAATAACATAATAACACATAGACATCTGCTTGGAAACATTTTTTTTCTAAGCTTTGCATTTTTGAAGGATTATACATTTGGGAAGTATAAATACATTGCAGAGGAGCTGGCAACAATTAGCATCACAGCTACATAGATGTTAGATATACATATTACTTAGCTTTTTTTTTTCTTGCAGTAAAACTTAGAATTTTTGGCTAGTTAAGAAAATAGATGTATAGCACTGATAAAAGTCAGAATTTTAGATCTCTTATACGTTAGGGAGACAGTGCCTATGATCCCAAATAGCCTCATTTTTTAATGTATAAGTATGTCTTTTATATACAGTAACACTCACTTAGTTAAGACAAATAATTGTAAGCCAAATACTAAATAGGAGGATTGCTCAAATGGCAGGGTTTTTTTCCCTGAATTTTCCTGATTACAAATAGCAAAAATGTTAAGAGTCTCACTGACCAGTTTAGATGTAATGCATTTTGAATTAAAGAGAGCATTAGCTGGTCATTTTACATGTAATAAACTCATACATCTTTACTTCTGTAACTGTTTGCACAGTATTTAGATAAAGTGTAGACACACAACTTCACATACACCCCAGTTAGAAGGTGGTCATTTAAGAGACCTTTTCATGAATAGATACTTAATTGAATATTTAGTTAAGGTTTACTTTTTTAAGTAGTCAAAAGCCTAACAAGATCGACAGAAAGCACAACTAATAATTTTGACAAAATCTTTTCTTTAAAGCCAGTATTTCTAAGTGTTACTAAGAGCAGAACAATATTAAGATAACCTTGTTATTATAGACAGAGAATTAAGTTCTAGTTTTACTATATAAGGCTAATAAGTATTTTATTGGAAAAAGAAACAATTTTGTCTAAGTTCAAAATTTTGTAAAAATTATTTCAAAGCGCCAATTAGAAAGATCTTAAAGTTTATTGAAAGTTTATATAGGTAATTAAATCAACTATAATTCTAAAAGTTGCCTAAAAAATTTTCTAAGGTCACATTAATTCTAGTAAGAATCATCCTAATGATGTTCACTTGCAAATATACACATGCAAAAAGTTCTAAATTAGGCATGTCATAAATGTCAATGTAAGTGTGAATAGTTTCATGAGCTCAAGAACATGCAAAAATTAATTTAGTGGCCACAAGTACCTTGGTCATTTATTCCTCAAAATTTCAGGAGCGGATTGAGATGTGCCCCATGCTATTCTTTTAGGACTCATTTTGGGAGGCTTGATAGCTGAAGCAAGAATCAATTCTAGGGAACCATTTTGAGTCAGTCTCAGTTTTCAAAGACTATCAGACTGTTAGCCTGTAATAAGCCAATTGTCACAGATATACAATAATAGACACACACACAAAATACACACAAAGACACACAAAAACAATTACATTAATTTTGAGTGTACTCTTAGAAACTGTCTTTTTCTTTCTTATAGACTAGTCAGATAGAATTTTCCCTATGGGGAAAATTGGATTTAGTACTTTTCATTCTTAAGCCATCATAGATTTAGTGTGCCCCATGACTACACAAATTGTAAACTAGATCTCCCATTCATCCTGGTCCTCATATCTTGCATCACTCCTTTACTACGTGGTTGTTCAAGTTTCTCCATCTACAAACACAAATGGCATAGGCCTCAAGTAGCCCAAAAGAACTCAAATGACAGAGGAACAAGATAAAGATCACAAAATTTCAGATTTCTTGTCAAAACAAGTGGTCTGTACAAGCGACAAGAAAACCAAAGTCCACTGTGCACTATTGGAGAGGTCACCAGGGATCCCACTAAAAAGACCTTAAACTCGGGCTGGGATGTAGCTCGGTGGTACAGCGCTTGCCTAGCATGCGTGAGGCCCTGGGTTCGATCCCAGCACCAAAAAAGAAAAGACAAAAAAAAAAAAAAAAAAAACCTCTCCCCAAAGGACCTTAAACTCATTTCTCCGCTTCACTAAATGGTGGTAAAAAGCAGTTGATGCTGGCTGAAGTGGAAGGATGAGAAAGGGTCCCTGGAATAAAAGTAATTCCAGCAGCTGCAGGGAACCAATTCTATCCTTCCTCTCCATCCAGGGTCGACTAGCTACAGGTGGCTAGTGCCTGAAGGATGCATTTTCTCCTGTCTGGCTTGCCAAAGCTGAAACCAGGAATTTTGGACCCAATGCCCGAACTCTTGAGATTCCATATGCCAGGTTCAGCCACCTGCCCCTAAACGCCAAATGAAGAGTCATGGTGAAGGCAGAGAAAGGAGGTTTATTACACAGCTCAGGACATGCTGTGGAAAGAGGCAGAGTAAGTACTCAGTTCATCTTTAGCCATCTTCAGGGTACAGACATGAGCTATAGGTTTAAATAGATAAAAGAACTGGGGTCAGGGGACAAAGGTATGCATAGTTAAGCAGTTTGGTCATAGGTATGGTCTGGTGGGGCGGCAATCTTGGTCAGGCAGGTAGTCTGGTCCAGTTTTGGAAGTTATCACCTGGAGGGAGTAATCTGGTTCCTGTTTGAGAGGATTCTTGGGATAATTGTCCTCCCTGGGAGAGTGGCAGCTTAGGTGGCTCTGGCTCATTGTCATAAAAATATTATCAGTTTTGCCCTTTTTGGAATCCAAGATGATTGTAAAGTGACTATAAAGAGAATAGCTTAGAGCAAAGACAGACACAAAATGGAGACAAAGATGCCAAGCTTTTCCTGTTCTTAGTTAATTTGTGGGCTCAAGTAAGGAGTCAGTGCTTTTCAACAAAAGCAATTTGAACGCCTCCGTTTCCATGTTCTTAGAGTAAGTCTCACACACCTCCGGGTAGTTGCAAATTAAAAAAAAAAAAAACAGTAATTATACAGAGGAGAAATGGAACACCATGGTGACCACAGGGTCAAAATTAACCTTCAAGATGGACTTGTGTGTCTCCCAATGTGGTACCCTAAGAAGGACGCACACGCCATCGGTACAGGCTGTCGGCTGAGGACTCTATTCCCCATGTCATTGGGAGAAACACGAAAAGAAGAGCCCTTCATTTTCCAGATCAGGAGATGTAACAGTGTTAGCAACCAGGGAAGTGACAGCATCATAAGCAATAGAACTAGGGCAGCCAAGGTCTCTCTGAAACTCCATGTCCACACTGTGCCGCATACCTCTTCATTTATCACTTAGCATATGGGACCTTGAATTAGTGAGATCATCTCTAACTCTGTGCTGGTGACAAAATGGCATTTTGGGTGAGTTTTGAGAAATACCTTGGACTCTTCATATGGATGACAATTTGAAACTTGATTTTCACATTCCACATATTAGAAGTTGGAAGCTAGAGCTATAACTGGAGATAAACTTTGTTTTGATTCCAGAAATCATTTTATCTCTGACTAATGATCCATGTAGCCATAGCCTGGACCTTCCCGGAGACTCTTACAGGGCAATGGCATAGGAGGGGCATCCATCAAGAGTTCTAATGAAGAATTTTAAAATAATAATAATAATTTCTGATGAGATCACATTTCAGCAGACCTCCCATAGGTAGAGCCAAGATAGTCATGCCTCCTCCGTTAGGGGCTCCTCAGGGGCTTGATGAGCCAAATGAGGGGCTGGTGGAATGGCTCAAGTGGTAGAGTGCCTACCTAGCAAGCGTAATGCCCTGAGTTCAAACCCCAGTACCGCCAAAAAAAAAAAAGTTTTTCCATGCATCATGCCTGGCGACTTTAGCTGTTTCGAAGTGTACCACTCAGCAACTCAATGACATCACAATGCCATGCATTTATCACCACTCTCCAGTTCCAATATATTTTCATCTCTGCAACCGGCACTGTCACTATGAAGCAGTAACTACCCATGACCTCTTCCCCAACCCCTGTAACTTCTATTTTACTTTCCATCTCCATGAACTTGACTGTTCTAGATGCCTGACAATCATGTAGCATTTGTCCTTCTGTTCCTACCTTCTTTCATTAGTATGGTATCTTCAAGATTCATCCATATTGAAGCATGTAGCAGAAGTCCATTCCTTTTAGAATGGAATAATATTCCATTGCACAGATATACTATATTTGTTTCTCCATTCATCCGTTGATGGACAATTGGCTATTGTGACTTGTGCTGTTGTGACCTTCACGTAACAGTACTTGCATATCTTTAATAGGAGGTGAATTGCTGGCTCACATGGCAATCCCCTGTTTTATTCATAAGGGTGTTTTCCTCCAAGTGGCTATAAAATATCCTGGTGCTCCGCCTTCCCCTCCCACACACACACACACACACAGCCGTGCACCTGGAGCTGAGCCCATGTGCAGTGAGCGGTGGAGAGCTGCCCCACACACCATGGGCTCTGGTCTTCCTGCTCTATTATACTTCTCACCTGCCTGCTTCTGCCCTGTAACCTGTCTTGCCTCTTCCTGACAGATGTGCCCGTGGAGAAGCTGGCCGCCATGCCAGCCCTGCATACCGTCAACCTCCGCTTCAACCCACTGAACGCCGAGGTGCGGGTGATCGCCCCTCCACTCATCAAGTTTGACATGCTCATGACTCCAGAGGGCGCACGGGCCCCTCCACCTTAGGCAACCCTTTTTGTGCCCACCCAGCAAGGGACAGAGGCCACTGGCCTGGCACCCTGACAGGAGGGAGACTCATAGGCTCACAGGAGGCCAAGCTTGGGGGAGTAGGGGTGGGTGGGCCGCACAGTCCGCAGTAGGAGGGGGTGCAGCTGGGCCAGGATAGCTAGCTTAGCACCATAGTGGACCCTGGAATGCCCAGGGGGAGGAGGCAAGGGCAGGCTGGAGCCTGGGCTCTGGACACTCAGCTGCTGTGTAAAATTGGGCAGATCTCCTGCCCTCTGAGTCTTGTTAATTGGGAGGAGGAATGGTGGCAGAAAGCCTTTGCTTCTTTTTGGGCTGATTGGAGGTTTTACCTCTGCATCATCAGACGCCCTCTAAGGCCACAAGTGAACGCTGCTGAGCATTTTCTGGGCCTCTGCATTTGAGGCCGTTTCTAGTGCTGTAAGCCAGACATGGCCTGGGAGGAGTAGGAGAAATGTCCTTCTATTTATTGCTTCTTGAGAACTGAACTTGGTGGGGCCCTTCACGGGTGCCCCAATCTTGGCCATGTGGATCCCCAGGCTGGTGGGAACTGGAACCAGGAATCCCTATAGCAGGGCAAGAGTATTTGTATAGAATCCCAGGCATCGGCTGGACAGGACACTGGGGAGCAAGTCAAGGCAGCTCTGTCCTTTCGTGATTAAGAAGTCAGTGGGTCTGTAGTTCTGGGTGCTCTCTCCTCCCCGGGAGTGGCCAGTGTACCTGCTCACCACCCCCTAAGCTGCGTGAAGGGCCCAGAGAGCACCAAGCCACCTCTTTGCCTATGGCTCTGGTCCAAGATATTAGATGGCTCCCCTCTCCATGGCAGCCGCCTGGCTGCTTTTCCTGACCCCTGGGAGTGAAAGCATCATGGACCACTGGATGCACAGTTAGCCACCACCACCACCACCAGATCCCCAATGACCTGACCCTAGACCCTCCGCCTGGTCTAGGAAATGGCCTTGACCAACCAGCCTGGAGTGCCTAGGATTGAGAGATTTCCCAGGTTGTGGGACTGTCAGTGCTAATGCTGGGATAGTCCCAGGAGAGGGCTAGGCTGTCACTTCTTCATAAAGCCTGTGCTTTAGAGAAGCCTGACCTCCTGATCCCCAGGTATCTACCTCCCACATCCTCAGCTGTGCAGCAAGCTGACTCAGAGCTTCCCCCACTGGCCTGCACCTTCATCTAGGTCTGGGCTCTTGATGCCCCGGGACTTGGGCACAGCTGGGCCACTTCACCTGCCCTAGTGTCAAGCTGTTCAGAGCTCAGACCACTGCTCAGAGCAGGAACTTTGTCTCAGAATGCCCCCCATGTCCCTTCCCCTTCCCAGGTTTCCTGTCTCTTGGCAAGAGCTGACAGGTTGGACCTCACAGGGTACTCAGTATCCCTTGTTCACTCTATTCCTATCCTAAAGCCTGGTCAGCCAAACTCTGGGAAAAGGGCTTTTAGGTAAGGAGGTCCGGACCTGGTCTCCACAGCTACTGAGTTCAGTTGGGAACACTGGGGACAAGTGAAGGGCTAAAGTGCAGTCCAGGTTGGAATGGCCCCTTCCACCATGTGTCTTGGAGTATACTTGTTGAAGAAGAGGCCGCTTCTAGGATGCACAAAGGTATCATACATCTGGAGCCTTGCAACTTCAAGTGTGGTCTGTGGACCGGCAACAGCAACATCACCCAAAGCCTGTGATAGATGCAGTCCTGGCCAGGCATGGTGGTGCACAGCTGTAATCCAAGCACTCAGGAGGTTGAGGCAGAAGGATCCAGAGTATGAGGCCAGCCTGGGCAACTTAGTGAAACACTGTCTAAAAACAAAAAAGGAAAAAGAAAAAAAGTGCAGGGTCTCAGACCTGCCCAGACTTTCTGAGTGTCTTCATTCTCACAATATTCCAGCCCATTCCTTTGGGTACTATTGAGAGGCAAGATCATAGGGGTGACCTGGACATGTCCTGGGAGTGGAGGATCTGAGTATTCAGCCTCCCCTGGATCCAGTCCTGGCAGACCTTGACCTCTTAGATCTTTCCAAAGTCTGCATGACAGTCGCAGCAAAGGAAATGACTGCGGTCACCAGGACATGAGGGTTGGATTAGCCTGCTCTCTACCCTGCCTCTCTGGTTTGCCTCTGCATGCCCAGTTCTTCCCCATAAGTCTTTTGGAGGGGCTGCTTCTGGAAGTTGTTTTCTACTGTGCTTGGACAGTGTGCCCTTGCCTCTCTGGGCAAGCTTGGGCAGTCGAAGAAGCCCGCAAATCTGGGCTCACAGTGTGAGTGAGCCCTAGCATCAGTCTGCAATAAAGAATGTGTTGGTCTCATCTGCCTGGTTGGTGTTTGATTCTCCCTGCATAAAGCTCCAGGAGCTAGTACCCACAAAAAGCAAAACAAATCAAAACAAAAACCAGATTTTCAGCCCACCCTAGAGCTACGAGTCAAAATCCCAGGCTGGCTTGGGGCCCAGTACACAGTCTGAATGCACCCCTCTAGGGGGTTCTGATGCATACTCTCCAGTAGAAAATCATTCTCCTGGGTACAAGGTTAAGTCAGGTTTTGTTTTTTAAATCTGAGAGGCTCACTTGAGTTTGCCTTGAATTATAGTTCAGACACACTATAATTTTTCTTTAACAGACACATAGCTTAGTGGGTAACTAGTCAGTGTCTGAACATGTCACAGATGTTAATTCATTTATTCCCTGTAACATTTCTAGCTATCTTTGTGATTTGGACAAATCCCTTTCCATTTCCCACCTGTAAAATGAAAGGATCGCACCAGGAGATCCCAAGGGTCTTTCTGGAATTCAGATGGTCATCGCTTCTCAGACTCAAAGGGCCCTACTATTATCACGGTGGCCTATGGATTAGCCCCACTCCCAACCCTACAGGTCAGAGAGACTTCTGCCTATCAAATCCTGGCTCACAGACACCAACAGCTCAACCTGCATGTCAAGTGAGGCCTGCTCTTCCTGCTGTGAGGCGAGGCCCACTGGCAGTTTCATCCTAGAGTGTTCAAGGGGGATGAGATTCCAGGTCTGGTTTTAGGTCAGGTTTTCCATGCCTGGGAAGAAGCTTGGATCAGGACTGGGTAAAGAGCATAGCATAGCATGAATAGACACAGGCAGGGGCATTTTGAGGAAGAGGGTTCAAAAAGTTTGGGGGCATAAACTCTCTTTTGGTGTTATTATAAGTTGATAGTTCAATGTTGCTTTAAACGGCTCTCAGAAAACTCCTGGGATGAACAATAAGGCTGTTTACTTCTTGGGTAAGTTTCCTGGAATGGTACAGCTATATCAGAGATGATGGGTTAATGGAATTAATGTAGAGTATAAGCTGTGTAGGGCCAGAGGGTTTTGATTGTGAGTTCCCCCAAAATACCATGATGGACCCTAGCATCTCTGAAGCTAAGGTAGGAGGATCAGAGTTTGAGGTCAGCCTGGGTTGCATAGATAAGGAAACAGGCTTGGAGAAGATGGAGCACCTGGCCAAATGTCAAACGTCAGCAGAAGTAGGTCAAGATGAATGGTAAGTGGTTTTCAAACCCAGGCCTTTTGACCAGAGTCCATGTCTCTTAGAATGGGCATCCAGGGCCCAGGCAGTGGTTCACAGAAGGTCTCACCTGAGCTGGAGGAGGGTAGCTGTCCACTTTGTCCCCAAAGGCCTCACTACCTTCCCTAGAGATGTGTTTTAGTCCTTCTTGACCTTGTGCCTACCTTTCATTATCACAAAGTGACAAGTGGTAGAGTGCCTGACTAGCAAGCATGAAGTGAAGCCCTGAGTTCAAACCACAGTACTGCCAAAAAAAGGGGAGGTCAGAGTGCAAACCCCAGCCAGAGATGTGGACTTCTCAAGGTGTCAGTACCTCCTCAGAAAGACTCCATAGAGCTAGACTCTCCAGAGGAGCTGCCCTGTCAGAGTGAGAAAGCTCTACCAGACCAAACCTCTTCCACTTTAGAGATGTAAACTGTGAGTTCCTGGGGGAATGTTCCAGAGTGTTCAGATCTTGTTCTAGAAGGCAAGTGGAGTGACTCAGCCAGGGATGTGCAGGGAGTCAGTAGAAGAGCCCGATGAATGCCGAAGTTTCTGGCTCCCTGTGCCAGGACCTTTCTGTAGCCTGCTGGAGCCTGCTATTCAGGAGCTAACCAGCTTGGCATTCTTGGCCTCTCTTCCTTCACTACTGCCCAGCTGTGGTGCTGGAATGAATCAACCATTCCAGCACCACATTTATAAGTGCCCTCCTTGTCACTTACAAATGCAAATAACAATGCTGACTTGCTTCCTTGGGGAGAGCTCACTAATAAGCATTTTGAGACATTTTGAAAAAAAGCTCCTCAGAGGCTGGTTCAGGAGAGGGAGGGGTATCTCCTGGCTCCCTGCAAGGGAACCCTACTCCTATCCAGGCCTCTGCCTTTCTGCAGCTACCCAACCTTATTCTTCAAAGGAATAGCTTCCCCCTTGCAACAGATGCTTCAAATGCCAGTAGTGTGCTGGGGCCTGATTCCCAGGGACCACATTCCCACCACCCTGAGACTCCCTTCCCCTTCTGTGGGGATTCTCAGTCTTTTCAAAATGGCAGCTACCCCAAGGCTCATGTGCATTTCCATCCACTGAGGCTCCCACTGGAAAAGCTTGACATTCGCACCACAAGGGAGCTGTCTCAATGGCACTCTTTGGCTTCATGTCAGCCCTTCTGGGCACCTGCCAACTCTGTGAGGCATCTCAGAACACATCTTCAACTCTGCTTAGAGAGAGTTCATGTGTGAGGCCAACACAGGTCTCGCGGGGACCATCAACACCAGCAAGGGCCTGTGGCCAGGAAGACTGCTGGGGTAAGATAGGGCATTCACTGCAGTGAGTGAGAAGAGGGTCTCTGCTGTTGCAAGGTGCCATGGACTGAATACTTGTGTCCCTCCAAAGTTGATAGGTTGAAACCCCAACTCTCCATGTGGCTATTTGGAGATAGGGCTGGTAGGAGAGATTAATGTTAAGTGAGGTCTTTAGGGTAGGGACCTGATCTCCTAGGACTAGTGTCCTTATAAAAGACACCAGATAACTCATTTGCATGCACACACACCCAGAAAAGGCCACGTGAGGACACAGTGGGAAAGCAGTGTCTTGAGAGTTCTAAGAAGTCAGGAAGAAGACTGGAACCTCTATCTTGGACTTACCAGCTTCCAGAACAGTGTGAAATACAGTTCTAGTGTTAAGTCATCTGGCCTGAGGAATGTTAAAGCAGATGGAAAGGACTACTGCAAAGGGAAATCACAGACTGGAGGGGAGACGGACACAGGAAGAGAAATATTACTGGAATGTCACAGAGCAGTTCTCAAACTCTGCTGCACATTGGAAGCAACCAAAAGTTATCACACACTATTATTCTGATTGCAACCCCAGAATGTGACCCGAGCATGGGAAGAGTGGGTGTTATAACTTCCCTGGTGATTCTAAAGTACAGTAAAGTTTGGGAACTGCCAGCCTAATAGCTATTCTAGAGACATGGAATCAGAGAACTGAGGATGGGACAGGGCACAGGTGGATGGGCAGGTGAGAGAGAGGGTGGACAGAAGTAGTCAGACAGAGGGTACAGCCCACAGGCAAAGAGGAACGGTGATAATGCTCAGTAGGGAATGTGTCCAGTAATGGAGAAGCAGTAGGATTTGAGGTGGAGAAGTGGACGGGACTGGGCTGTGAGTAGCTTGTACAGTACGTGGAAGGAATGCCCACAGGGGAATGTAAGCAAGGAAGGGGCACCATGACATTCAGGACTTAGGAAGATCAGTGGCGATAGTATGGTGGGTAGGCCACACATGAGGTGATCTTTTACTCACTCTCTGTTTCATTCATGTCCCCCACAGCTGACCATGAACTCCATAAGGCCACCTTTGGAAAGGGGAAGGGGAAAATCTAAGAAGGACTGTGGCAGTAGAGAATCACTGTGATTCTCTACCTGGCTCACACCTGGCCCACATCAGGTAGAATCACCTGGGGAGTTTTGAAAAAATTCCAGTACCCAGATGCTGTCCACCAGTGATGGGTGCAACCTGGCTGGTCCGACTCCACTGGATCAAGGGAGATGCCATTGGCCTGCATCACTCTCAGCACTGGCAATTTGCTTGAAAGCTCCCCATGTACTTTTAATGTGCAAGCCAGGACTGAGAACTGCTGGTCTCTAGAGATTTAAGAAGCACCAAAAGGGAACAAACCCCTGACCCCACATAAAGGAAAGAATGGTTCATTTACTTTCTTTCTTATGCCTAGCTCTGGGATCTTCACTCACATGACAAAAATCTGCAGTGCTGTCTGTTGAGTGCTTGACAGAGGCTGGCAATGGTGGGAGGGCAGCTAATGGTCCCCAATTCAGCATCTACTTTGTGCTGGGCAGAAACTTTGACACCATCAGTTTACTCCCCTCGAAATCATTTTTACAGATGCAGAAACTGAAACTCAGGCAGTAAGAAATTTGCACCGGGGTTCACCTCTCCTGCGTGCCTAGGCTGGCTAATTCCAAAGCCAGTGGCCATCCACCAGACATCTTGCCTCTCTTGGGAAAGCTCGGAGCTGATGGGGCTCCTCCAACCTCCCTCCGTTGGCCCGCCTGTATATTCACAGACACCTCTCATCTCCTTCTCAGGAAGGTCAGGGGTCCTGGACACCAGGGTGGGTGGCTGGGGGTCAGTTTGGGGTGGGGACAAAGGTGGAGAGTGGGTACAAAGGCTGGGATGTGGGGCACCACGAGAGGGATTTTGAGGCAGGCGTGGCTACCAGGCCTGCCGTGGTCGGTGAGTGTATCGGGTACTTTACAGGGGTGCTTAGTCCATGCCCGTGCCCGAGAGTTCCACTTAGGGAAGCGGACCCGGGCGCCCTCGCTTGGCCGGCCCAGGTGTGTCGGGTGCTATGGCGACAGCGCCGCACTGGCCCCCTCCTTCCCGTCCGCCCGGGAGGCGTGGGGCGGCGTGTGGCAGAGTCCGGTGGACAGCCGCGCGGTGCGGAGCTTCAGCCCGGACCCCCAGGGGAGAGAGCCTCACCCCGCAGGGTTGGAACCTGCGAGCGCCCCTGCCCGCCTCTGCCTGGCCGCGTCCCGACCCCGACCCGCCGAGCGCAGAGGCAGGGGCGCGGGGCTGTGCAACCGAGGCTTGGAGACACCCCTCTGCCCTGCCCACCCTAAGGTGCCGGCGGTCTCGCTCCATCGGAGGCTTCCGGGGGCGGGCAGGCGTGGGCAGCATGGATGGTGAGTGACCCTGGGGCTGGGGGTCGGGGATGGGGTAGCCAAGGGGCTGCTCACCCTGCCTGTCCAGAACCAGCGTAGACACGGGGTGTGTGTGTGTGTGTGTGTGTGTGTTATTGGCTTCTAGCTTTAGGGAAATTGTGGCCAATTTAGGGGGCTTGAGGGGAGATGGAGACCTTCCAGAGGTGATGCCTCCATGCTGATAGGATTTCTCTCTGGGGAAAGGAGGAGGGAAGGCCCTAACCTCTGGCACCGTAAGGAATACTGGCTCAAGACAAATACTCCTGCTCGCATCTTACCAGACCCCTCTGTCAATCATGTAGAAAAAGGGAACTGTATTTAGGATAAGAAACTGGAAGACTCAGGGCTGGTCCACTGACTTGTTGCATGTTTCTGAGAAGGTTCCCAAACCTTTCTGTGCCATGGGTTACCCATCTGTTGAATGGAGGAACTTAACGTTCAACTGGCTTCATGGGGTGGCAGCAAGAATAAAATACAACAAGATGCGTTGTACAGGAAGAGAAGGCTGCGGCAAGAGGTAATGAAGCTGAAATTCTGATAAGTAACTGCAGATGCTGCCATCAAGAATGAAAAGGGCGGGGGGTTATAGAAAATCTTTTGAGGCTGCACTTAGAGCTTCCCAGTGAGCTAGGGTTTGAAAAGCACACACACACAAGAGATGCAAGGAAGAATGGGAGGCCAGAGGAAGCTGGAAGATTGACAGGATCTGTAAGAACAATGTTAACAAAGTACCAGAGCCCCAGTGAACAGAAGCCAGGGAATATTGGCAAAGGACAGAGCAAAGAGCTTTCGAAGTCTAAGGAAGGACGAGAAGGGGGGAGCAGATGGAGCATGGCACAGGCCATGAATTGTGAGCTAAGATTTTAAGGAGGAAATTGAAAGCCCAGAGGTTGTGATGGAAAGAAGGCACCAAGTCACCTACCATGAGCTCACCCCTCAAAACCCAGACACATGACATTCTGGGGAGCCAGTGACATTTGCAGATGTAACCGTCACCTAAGAGGAAATTACAGAGAATGAAAGGAGGCACCAAGAAACTGAAGATGGGCAGATTGTCCTGATTTTCAAGAAAGGAGAATAAAGATAATATTTTTCAAAGCCCTTAAACTGCTAAGATTAATATTATTGACCTCTATTAAAATTCCAGAGGAAATCATCAAACATATAGTGAACACTTGGGACACAATAAAGCAATCACCTATCTCAGAATCCTTTCAAAGGGAACCATCTTTGCATGCTTGCAAAGATGTGTTTCTGAGTATGTTCTTCACAGAGCAAAATTGGAAGCCATCTAAATACCTGTAAATTGAGTAAATTGAATAAAAGGTGAGACACACCTACAATGGCATACCTTAAAGACTATGCTTAGGATTTTATTTGTTGATATGGAAACAGATTCAAGCCTACTGTGAACAGATCGTTATGTGAGTTTATATTATGAACACATAACATGAGTAATAAAAAAAGTGGGTTTTCCAGGCATAGTGGTGCACACCTGTAGTCCTAGCACTTGGGAAGCAGAGGCAGGAAGATCCTGAGTTTGAGGCCAGCCTGGGCTACATAGCAAGATCTTGTCTCAAAAAAAAAAAGCAAGTTTAAGAACAGATGTAGTATGATCCCCTTTATGCATGCAAAGTTACATGGGTTTATTATTGGAGATGTAGATATGAAATGGGTATATAAAAAGGAAGTCACCAGCTTGTCATTTGGGTTCTCCTGCCTCTAAAGTACACCTAACACAAGGATGTGAGTCTAGGGAGTTCATTTGGGAGCTGATATAGGGAAGCAGAGGTAGGAAATGAGGAGAATGAGATGAGAAAAAGGAAAAAGGCAGGAAATGGGTGTATCGATGAACTAGTTTTTCTGTGGGCATTTGGGGGTGGGGGAGTTCCATCCTACTAGAGACCCTGTGAGAAAAGTACAGACTTTGCATTGGCAATTCTCCTTGCTGCCTGCTGTTGAGAGTAACTCTGCTCCTGCAGTTCTGGGTTGTTCCAGTTTGTGGCTTCAAGGAAGCAAAGCAACTGCTGGATGGGGTACCAGCAGTGCAGGACACCCACCCCAGCTGAAATCTTTGGGCCAAGGAGATGTGGCTTACAGCATTACAAATGCATCAGCCTTGAGTGTAATCTCTGGGTGTGAGACTTCAGGGATACGCTGTCTCTCTCTCTCTCTCTCTCTCTCTCTCTCTCTCTCTCTCTCTCTTGCTCAGAACTGTTTTATAACAAGCTCATCATTCTTTTAATAAAATGACATTGAATAACAAAACATTTTCAGGGTTGGAGATGTAACTCAGTGGCAGTTCTCTTGCTGAGCATGCCTTAGGCTCTGAGTTCGATCCCCAGTACTGTAAAACATGCAAACAAAATTTCAAAGAGAAAGAAAATAACACAGTACTCATTAGGAGTCCACATAAGAGCTCACTAAGAACAAATCATGCTGAACCTGCCAAATTTCCTTTTTCAGACTGGGTTTGTGAGAGGTGAAAAGACGAATTACAATGGTTCAGCGGGATATTGCAAAGATCTCTCATGAGACCCCTGAGTACTGATAGAGAGCTGTGGCAAGGATGCTGGAGGACTGACAATGGGGGCTCATTAAAGCCTTGATAGCAGACTCAGGGTCTCTAAGAGGGAAAATAATAAGCATGCTGTGGCTAGGAGCCCAAACACTACAAGGTGACAGATTCGAGATTTAAGGTTATCTCAACACACTGGAAGGCTGGATTGAAACCAAGAAGATGAGATGTAAATGTGAGGTCCCGAACTTAGGTCCAAAACAATTCAACAGCATTCATTTAAAATGGGGGAAATTCCTGGGGAGGCTGATGAGGAGATGGACCTGTAGCCCCTCTTGCTGGAGATCCTGGGATGTTCGAGTAGAAAAAGGCAAGGAGTGGGGAATGGTATTGGGGACAGAAGCTCATTCTTGTTCTGTGTGGCTATAGGGAGCAGACCCAGGACTGGAGGGGGCAAGTTGCAATAAGATAATTCAACTCCGCTTCAGGAAAAACCTTCTTCCATCACTTGGAGCAGCCTAAAACCTATCTCCTCACTAGTTCCCATTATTCAGGCAACAGTTCTAATTACTACTGACTAGCAGGGTGGGAATTCTTGGGTGGCTGGATCAGAAATGCAGTCTGGACAGGTCTCTGAGGGCCCAGAAGCCTTTTCCCAACCCCTAGAAACAGACACTGCAGTTTGCTGAGCCCCTGCAGAGTTGCTGGGGTCAGCTGGGCAGTAGCCCCCATTTATCTACTCCATGGGCTCCTGACCATGGTGTGTACTATGGGATTTTTACCCAGTTCCACTCCCCAGTCCCAGCCTGACTGCAAGGTAGTGGTTCCTAAGAGCCCCTGGCAGCCTCCACAGCTGCCTACCCAGCATGGGAGCTCTAACTGAGAGAGGCCAAGAGGCTGCGAGGATGGATGCTCACATTGGCTGGAGGTGGGCATACCTTAGGGAGGGGACCCATGCAGGAGAAGGAGGTCACCACTAGAGAGAGGAAGAGAGAGGAGCAAGTCAGGTGGTCTTCCTCCAGGACAGTAGTCTTGGAAGTCCAGGTGGGCTGTGCTTGGAAATGCTGTGCCCTGTTCTTTTCCACAAAGCACTTCATCACCCTGGAGTTGCCCATCATTGCACAAGGAGAGAGCATCATCGCCAGTTAGCAGATATAAACCAGAAGCCTAGCCCAGCAGGTACAGCATGCCCTGACCTAACTATAGTAGTTCTGCTGATTCTTCCTACACATGTGGCCCAGTTTCTGGGGACACTCCAGGGCAGCCTCCATGGAGTCCAACTATGCTGTGTCCTGAAGACCTTTGCACTTTCCTGTGTGGCTAGGAGTAGGGAATGGGAGGGGGGGTCAGGTGTTGCCAGGAAAGCAGAAAACAGATAGGTGCAGTTCAGTCCTCCTTGGGGCCATGCCTGTTGGACAGCAGTCTATCCTGCTTCTAGCAGTGAGTTGTGAGTGTTTCTGTTCAATCATCATGGGACCCAAACTATTGCAAATACTGCAGGCTCTTAGAGCCAGAAGAGGCCTGTGTAAGCAGCTGGTCTGACAACATGGCTAATTTCTTCAAGTTCTACATAAGATACGAGCATAAAAGAATCAAGTTCAGTCTCTTCTCAAAAGCTGTTTGCTGCTCTCTCATTAGTAACTGAAATATCATCAAGAGCTTTGGACTTTCTGATTTAAAGTTTGACTCCTTTTGAAATGCAAATGATCAAAGGGACACAGCATTGCTAGCTGTTGTGAGTCATTTCCTCATCCAAATGAACAGTTTATCAAAGTCTTTCATAAACAAGATCCTACCATGGATGGATGGATGGAAAGAGAGAGAGAGAGACAGAGAGGGAAGGAGAAAGAGAGGGAGGGAAGGAGGGGGAGAGAGAGAGTAAGTAACTCAGGACATGGAGGCTGAGACTGGGTTGCGATGCCAGGTTGGGAAGTATTACGTGGAGGAGAAATGGATACCCAACAAGTTAGGTGTCCTCTCTCGTAACTTCTCAGATGAGCCCAGAGTAACTCTGTTTCTGCCTCTGGCCAGCAAGGGTTTAGATGTTACTTACAGCATTCATGGTGCCAGCTTTGTGGTGGGAACATCAAGGAGGCAAGTTCCCTTTCAAATCAATAATTCCTTGTGGCTGCTAATGGACACTAGAGGTCAAGGTAGGTGACCTCATATACCCAGAGAGGATGTGAAGATAATGGGAGATCACAGAGTCAGAGTAGGGGTTGAGGAAGTCTCCTAGCTTATGTGACAGACCCTAAATCCTGGAGTCAAGCAAAATCTGCGGCTCCATGACTTCTGCACCACTGAGAGCAAATATATTTGTCTTTGAGCTTTGATTTTTTTCTGTGAAATTAAAATAATTCTCCTTTCCTTGTCAGAGGTAATTTGATGATGTATAGATATAT